AATCTGAGGCTACAGCGGAAGGATTGTGACACAAAGTGGGATTTTTATTACAAAAAAAGACTGCAACTTTGGAGGATTTCCTCTGGACTATGTGCACAGAAGGAGGACTGTGGATCTTGTCCCCCATCACTTACATGCGTTCATTCCTAAGGAGCTCATAATGGCCAGCACGGAAAAGAGGAATTATTACAGCAAGCAAAACCAGTTTCATTGTTCATATAATCTACACCTGACTACTATTAAAAAAAAGTGAACCTGTCCTTTAATTCGCTGTAAAAAGGAAAACAGCAGGAAGTTATAAGGAAAGCAAAAATGTTGATTGAGGTCCAGTTTTCCAGTCTAGTGAATTCTAAATCATTCAGCCTAGTGTCTTTTGCAAAAAGAATAGCTAAATCAAATAATAAAAATAATTATATAACATTTTAAACCTTACTGAATGTCCAAAAGAAACAAATGTTTTAACTTGAAATCAATGAAGAGCTTTAATTGTTTTTTTGTTCTTTTTCTGTCAACTCTAGTGTGCCAAACCCTTTCCTCTGAAGCTATTCCCTATATTAGCTCAATGTTTGACATGGTGAATAAAGATAATATTAGGACATAGATGAATTATTCCTGTACTACCTATGCTAAATGACCATTATCCCCATTAAGTAATTGTTAGATAAGGGCCTTGAACCCTATATTTTATTGTGAATTTACTCATTTTTAGTGGTATAGTTCCCAAAATGAAAGGAGCTGTGATACATTCTTCCACTGTAGCCTATTATTAGTATATTATTATATTATAAGTGTAATAGGTCATACATATGTCTGACTGTACTGCACATGCACTCTCAATGCATGTACAGTACAGGTATAAGTATACTGAGAACTACGCCATTTGCCAATAAAGTCGATTCTGACCTTATTTTAAGTTTTGAAAAAATTAAATAAAACGAAATATCAGTTAAAAAACACACCCAGTTGCACAGGAAGGTAAACACGGCCCTTTTTTTAAAAATGTGTAAAAATAAACTTACCCTCGAAGTATGGGGTCATCAGGTGCGTGTGCGCGCGCAGGCTGAGCGGCGGCCCTGGGCACGAGCCGCCGGTCCGGTGGATTAGAGGAGTCTTCCATGGTGCCAGTTTCTTTTAAAGCTGGGGTTGGTGGTTTTCAAATAAAAAACCTTGTGCGGTCGACTCGAGGTGCTCACTGTGAGTCGACTGGCGACAAATGAAATGTCTAAAGGCGTTTTTCAGTTGCTTTTTATGCTGGGCTTCCTGTGGAACGCAGGAATTGGATGGACAATCCCAAACCGGAATTCCTGTGAGTGTTTGCCGCTGATAAAACCCCTCTCCTGCACAAACACTCTCCATCCTGCTCAAACCGCTTCGCGAATCTGATTTTGAAGCATTTTTCTGTCCCCATTGTGGCGCAGACATCTTGAAGGGGGCAAGAGCCTTCAGCCTTCTCACCCCGTGGCCTTCTGTTGCCTTTGCAGTCCAGAGGAAAACACAGGAATCACCAGTACTGGAAGGTTCTTTGTATTTACTGAAGCTTACATTTAGGTTTTAATGTAACACCACTTGCTGGCATTTGAAATGTGTTAGCTGGTGGCACATTGGGAATTCATATAGGCTCATGTTTACAGTGGTTAAGGTCACTGTGAGATCAAATCTGGCAAATTGCAGCTTGTTAAGGCCAAACTGTTGCACGATAAGAATGAAGTTTTTCCTCCTTCCGCTGGTGTGCTTCTGTTGGAGCTCAGTGCAAGCTCAGTGAGAGGAAAGGTAAAGACTTGTTTAGTGTAACTTTTGACCCTCCTATTCACACCACTTTAATTGCTATGAGACAGTTTGGTGAATTGTCAAAGCCACGTTGGAGCTTTAAAATATGCTCCTGTCGATCCTGATTTCATGCAATCAGTCTGACAGTGAGGTCCATTCAGTATTGTTCTGGAGCTTTCAAACAGAACGGCTGTTAAATGAACCTTGGGTCTTGGCGTTTTAATTCTTTACAAATGAACTTAAAACATGAAATTTTAAATGCATCTTCCTCACTCCGTTCACATTTCGGCCCTCAGACCTTCGCCATGTGCAGGATTTTTTTTGGCAGTCGGAGTGTATGATCCGAAATAACCTCCTATGAGACCTGATTTCATGTTTCCCAGGCATCTAAGAGGTCTGGAGTTTGTTCGGATTGGGGTCGTGCCCGGGTTCAGACGGGGTATCTTATGTGAGCTTTGGCTACTGGTAACTGACATGTATTAAAGACGGCCATGCTGCTCCTCCTCTGCCTCTGAACCTAAGCTTAACTGAGATCAGTCTGACAACCAGGACTCATTTGTCATTCTAAGTACAAAACCGGACCGCATGCTCACACAATTACGCGTGCACTGCACACACACACGCACAGTTTGTTTTCTGTGTGTGTTTATGGTTGGGTGGCTGGGTTCATGAACCAGAACGTCACTCAGATGGAACAGAGCACGGACTGCTTCGCTACTTAAATTTATCATAAGAAATGACTTGATTTACATCCAAATTTGCGTCTCTTTGTTATGCACCGATGGCGCTGAAGAGTACTCGGTGTTTGGTGTTGTGTCAGTGCTCATTTAAGGGCCTACGCTGACTAAATGTATGATCTGACACTCCCTGCATACAAAGAACTATTTCTCTGCGATAACAAAAGAGGCTACGTGCTGAGGCACCATGGGAACGCTTCACTTCGGGGTCGCAGGTGACCACACACCAACACACACCATCAAGGCTGATGGCTCGGAGGGCGCACATTAGAATATAGGATGCAAAATCAGTGTGGGCTTGTTTGTGAATGTGTGTGTGTGTGTGTGTGTGTGTGTAAGCTTGTGTAAGAGAGGCCGAAGTGGGAGGGCATCTCTTTTTAAGGAACTCTTTTCATTCTTTGAAATCAAGACTTGGCCGACACAAGCAAAGTGTTGCAGTCGGTGTTCCAGATTTGTCCCAGAGAAGATGCGGGAGGGAGGAAAAAAAAACTGAAGCAAAGCAGCACTTCCTCTTTGAGAGGAAACAGGAAAAGGCTGTGGGGAGCAAGATTCTGGAGCCTGCTCCCTTGGAACAATAAAAATCTCACTTTGACAGGAAACGGATCTGCGTCAAAGAGGGCCTGACAGATTTTGCTAAAGGGCAGTAGCAGTGACCCTGGATGGGGCATGGACAAGAGGGCAGCTGTGCCCAACAACAACTCTTCCAAATTTTGAGTACGTTCAATGCATTTTTACGCATAGATTTCACGTCAGCACTGTGTAGATAGGTGCGCGAACAAGGCGTGCGTCTCTGCGAATGCACAGAAGACGAGTAACGCCCGAACCTTGAAATAAATGCAGTAAATGACAAGAGGAATAATAACTGCAGAAATAATGGCAGAGGGAAAGGTAGAGGAAATAATATAGATTCAGTGTTTTTTAATGTGTACATGAAGCAGTGCTTTCGTTGCTTGCTTCAGTCTGTTGGTACGCTTTTGTGTGAATTTGTAAAAGCTTGTGTCTGTGTGTCCATGAGTGCACTGATACGTCTGCGCCTGGATGCTCTGATTGATCACATCTCCCACCAGCAGGAGCCATCAGCTTCTTTCTACTGATTC